AACTCAAACTATTTGTGAAAAATCCCAAAATACTGATTTTTTCCTATGCAAATCTTACCACATGATTAGTAAATCCAGCCGATATTCGTTCAGGAAGCTGCGCCAGACAGCACTAGAATAGAGCTCGACGAGCTCTATCGATGGGTAACTTTGGGTTTTCCATAGCTCAAACTATTTTTGAAAAAATTCCAAAATACTAATTTTTTCCTCAGCGAATCTTACTATATGATTAGCAAATTCAGCCGATATTCGCCCAGGACGCTGCTCCAGCTGCGCCAGAATAGAACTTGATGAGCTCTATCGATTGGTAACATTGGAGTTTCCATAGCTCGAACCATTCGTGAAAAAATCCATAAATACTAATTTTTTCCTATGCAAATCTTACCATATGGTTAGTAAAATCAGCCGATATTCGTCCAGGAAGCTGCTCCAGCATCGTCAGAGAGTCCCAAAGTAGACGTTGATGAGCTCTATCGATTGGTAACATTGGATTCTCCAGAGGTCTAACCACTCGTGAAAAAATCCCAAAATATTAATTCATTAATATTTTGGGATTTTTTCACGAATGGTTCGAGCTATGAAAAATCCAATGTTACCAATGGATAGAGCTCATCGAGTTCTATTCTGACGCTGTCTGGCGCAACTGGAGCAGCTTCCTGGACGAATATCGGCCGGATTTACTAACCATACGGTAGGATTTGCATCGGAAAAAAATTAGCATTTTGGGATTTCTTCACAAATAGTTTGAGCTATGAAAAATCCAATGTTACCAATCGATAGAGCTCATCAAGTTTTACTTTGGAACTCTCTGGCGCAGTTGGAGTAGTTTCCTAGATGAATATCGGCTGGATTTACTAAACATATGATAAGATTTGCATAGGAAAAATTTGTATTTTGGGATTTTTTCACGAATAGTTCGAGCTATGCAAAATCCAAAGCTACCAATCGATAGAGCTCATTAAGTTCTATTCTGGCGCTGTCTGGCGCAGCTGGAGCAGCTTCCTGGACGTATATCGGCTGGATTAGCTCGAATATGAGGCTAACTTCACCTACGTAGAATTCTGATTGGTTGCAACCTGTAGATGATAGAGTTTCGTGTTTGGCGGCGTATGGTGCGGCGATTTACGGCCGCAATACGGTCCATACGAAAACGGCTAAGTGACGACCGTGTACGGCCGTATGCGCTTGTTTCTGGCCGTCATAAAGTTCGACCTTTATTCATTTTCTCTAAACGGTCGTTTGCGGCAGTATACGCTGGTATTACGCTTGTGAACGCTGACGTACGCGGCTGTGCACGCCAGAAATGGTTCCATGTTACGACCCAAATGCGGTCGTTTACTGTCGTCGTAATATGCCGTGTACGGCACTATGAAATATGGCCGTAATACGCTGGATACCAAAACGGCGACAATACGGCCCTACATGGCCGCACTTTCGCCGTACGCGGTCGCATACAGTGTCGTAAATGGCCGTATAGGGTCGTTACTGGCCGTCGTAAAGCTTGACCTGGGTAATGTAGTTACCGACTGTGACAGAAAATTTACGTGAAATCCTAGCATTGCAGCCTCTTTAGGAATAATGTCTTCGCTGAATGTGAAAGCGTCTGTCTGTTTTTTGGTACACGCTTCCGTATTACTCTCAAGCCCGATTACAGCGTACTTCAGTGATACAAAAATCCAAATGCTGAGGATTGCATTTGTTCGCTGTGAATCAGAACTCGAAGTGGGCCACTCTTTCATTGCCCGACCCGACGCAAAGTGGCCCAAACATTATTTAAGTCCACTCGGCTCGGATCCGAAGGAAATTTCGTGTACAAAGATTTTTTTCTAAGCAGAATTTAGAAATCACTTCGGTAATTGTCAGTATACCTGGGAGCAAATAACCGTTGTTATGTTGAGTTTGATTAGCCCAGATTCTCAAAATTTAAATAAAATTAATATGCAATAAGTTGAATTGCTTTTTGAGTCAAACAAACAAAATATGTTGTAAGATATTTGAGTTCAATAACAATCATTATGTATAACTCGATGTCCTATGGTACAATTTTTTTATTGAGGTGCACCATAGAAACTTCACGGGGTTTCTGAGTGAAGGTGTTTTTTTTCAATTTTGATCATACAGTGAGTAAGCTCGCAGTCAAAAGTAGTTTGTGAATAGAAAGAAAAAATTTTTTGATAGTTAAATTTTTAAGATGAATATCCTAACTTTAGCTATCAACATTTTTTTCGGCGCGCTCATAGACTATTTGTACTGCCTGCTAACCAAGGGGAAAAAGCGAGACTTCGTACTTCACTGGATTTCACTGGACTTCACTTGCACTTCACTGTACTCCATTCGTACTTCACTGTACTTCACTCCTACTTCAGAAGTACGAAGTCTCGCTTGTTCCCCCTTGGTGCCAACTCAATCCATGGTCAAGTTGGCAAAAGCTTTTGCTGGAAAAAACGATGCAAAATCCATAGGATTGCCGTTTTTCCAGAAAATAGTATGGTTCCCATGAATTCACTCGTTAATCAAAATTGCAGAATTCTATAAAATGTTATTTACAGCTCCTAATCTCGATGACGGTTTATTTTCGACACATTTTTTCTGTCAATTACATTCTCACTTTAATTAACGCAGTTTACGCAGTACAGAACATGGCGCGTGGATGAGAGATACGGCTGGTTTAAGCCATCGCTATGGCTTATCATATTAATTATAGTTGAAATTCACATGCTTTTTCTATCACAAAACGTACTTGATAATTTTTGGTGTTTAAAACAGATAGATAATTTAGTAAAAAATAAAAAAAAAACGGTAAAAACGGCAGGTCGGTCCGAGACAACTTCATCGGGCCACTTGGCCAGGCGGCCCATTTCGAGGCCTGCTGTGAATGAGAAACTTCGGTGGACAACCCTTGACACAGTGATATTTTGGGATCCCACCGTAAAATGAAGACGAACATAACTATTTCGCGACTGACCTTCTCAAATAATTTTCAACTACGTAACTAACGTCGTCGACGGATAAAAGCTCAGTAGCCGAGTTAATTGCAACTGTTTACGTCGACCGAAAATGGAGTAGATGGTCCTCAATTAATAGTTGTTGTATGAATATTTGCACTTCTGTAAAACTGCTGCCTCGACTTTTGGTACTCAGTCTCAAATAATTTTTCAAGCACAATCATAGCATAAAAAGAACTTCACAAAAACTCAATATTGCGCTATTCAGAATATTCGCTGCGAAAGGTATAATCGCAAGCAGATTCTTCAGCAAATACTCACTTAAAGAGAACCTCTTTCATGAAAATTTCCTAGAGAACTTAATTGCCATACTGCATCGCATTTCATTTGCAGCAAGATTAAATCTTTTCGAATAATAGAAGAATACAGCAGTGGATGGTTGTATTTCTACGTTAGCACTCACGAGAAAAGTACTCAAAGTGTTTCCTCGACTTAGAGCTAATATTTTGCTCACAAATAAACCTCAATGTCAATAGCCAAAACCTAAAAGAATTCGTGCCTGTGGGCTGTTAAAGCCGACTTATGACTATTTCAGTGGATTTTCGATTTCAGGCAAGACCTTCATAAAAAATCAAATGATGGTATTTTGACCTAAAATTTTTCCCACGAAGAGGTCTCATGGTTATTAGAATGTCCTAAAACTTTCAGCCAAAACGAATATCTTATCCTTGAGATATTGAATTTTCTGTGGTATATGATCATTTTTCAGCCAACCTATATCTTCAGGATAAAGCATTCGTTTTGGATGAAATTTTTGGAAGATTCTAATAACCATGAGGCCTCTTTATGGGAAAAATTTCAGGTCAAAATACCATCGTTTGATTTTTACATGAATGGCTTGCCTGAAATTAAAAATCCACTGAAATGATCATAAGCTAGCTTCAACAGCTCACAGGCACAAATCCTCTTAGGCCTTGGCTATTGACATTGAGATTCACTTGCGGGCAAAATATGAGCTGTTAGTCAAGAGAACAGTTTGGATATTTCTCTCGTCAGAAACTGGATTGACAATCCATGTTATAGAGACATTTTGACGAGAATGGCTTTACAATAGTTAATCTTTGCTGTTCATTTCGTACAAAGTTTCAGAAAGTTTTTACCGCAAGAAAAATAACTGTAATGATACGAAAATAACACTATACAAGCTTAGTGGTTCTGCTATAGGACAAAAAAATCTACTCAATACTCATGACCACAAAGAGCTTGTGAAGAAACTGTACTTTTAAGAAACATACACTTACTTATTGTGTCCGTCCCAAACCTTGCTTGTCTATAACCAAATTAAGAATGTATTGTAATCACGTTGTTCTATGAATGAGAGTGAAGTATTGTATCGTCTAGATATACACGGCAAAATTACCTTGATTTGTGTCTATTCATCTGTATACATCAATTGTATGAGTGTTACATTTTCATCCGATTTTTTTTCTTTTATAGAAAAGAATACCGTCGTTTTGCCTGTTCTGTCTCACGCCATACTAAAAGCTTAATTGACGATAATGCACAACCAATCGTATGATTGGAAAAAAAGTGTACTATACCACATATTCATTTGTTCTTCTATTACAATAATAGCACATCATTAACAAATATCGACGCTTCACTATCGATAATTTGCTTCTAAATACAAGGTAACCAGAAAGGTATGCATAGAAAAGATCGAAACTAAAAATGTTGAAACTAAAAATGTTGAAAAAAAAATGTCGAAAAAAAAAACGTCGAACGTAAAAAATGTCGAAAAACAATATCGAAGGCTAAAATGGTCGAAAAATAAATATCGAAAAATAAAATGTCGAAAAAAAACTATCGAATGATAAAAATATCGAATGATAGTTTAATCGAAATAAAAATGTCGAAAATACGAACAAATGAAATTGTGATCAATCAAATGTAAGTAATTTTATTACCATATGAAATCGAAAATATATAACTGATGATACAGAAAAAATTAAAAAAACATAGTAATGGTCAAAGTAGATCTTTAACGCTTCGATATTATCTATGTTGCTTTACCATGACTGTTGACAAGCCATCTAATAGTACTTGAAGAATAATTTCATTATTTAAATAACGTTCATTTAATGTATCAATACGTTGTTGTATAGCAGTAGTCGCTGCTGTTTTTGGTCGACCTTGAGCCGCAGCGTTCAATTGTATCCGCATGTGTCTGAATCGAGATTCCTCTCCTTGTAAGCATTTAATGAACGACCAGATGTTGGGATGAGATCTTTCAATACGATGATTTAATCGATTATGAAAACCTACAAAGAGCTTGATTTGACATAGAATAGTTTTTAAAAAACTACCTTCACAAATATTATTACTTCGATGTTGAAGACCATGATTATTCCAAATTGATAAAGAAGTTGTTTTCATCCATTGTTCATCAAAATATAAAAATAACTGGTGCAATTTTTATTTAACATTCTGTGATGATTTTGTACGTAAATCATCAAATGCTATTTGAACTTTATCCACCGGTAATAAAGCTAAAGCCATTAATTTACGTACTCAAGTACGAATATCAATATCATCAACATAAATCGAGTCCATCCGGTTTATCGTTTCCATCGGAAAGGATAACGAAAATTCTGCCATCTCTACCAATCTATTCCAATGTACGTCTTCACTTCATAAAAGCAGCTTGCCATATTTCAACTACCAATCATATTTCTTACACCAAATATAATTTAACAAGCATATACACTCCTGGACAAAAGTAACCGTCCCCCTTGAACTGGTATCATTTGTTATGATATTTGGCTGATATTGTGGATAGAGACTGATCTCAGTGAACCCTGATCGCAAGCACCACTCCGCCCTCAATCGGTTGAGATACAGTGAAGTTATCAGTTCACCAATATCATTACATTGTGAAAGTCATATCTCAGGCATCTTTTGACACTAATATTCGCGCAACCCCTCATTCTTAAGCACATTGATGGGGCTATCTACGATAAGAAATTGGTAAGAAGTTAATCTAGAATAATGGAGTTCTGAAGTTCACATTGAAAACTTTCACCAAGTAATAAGCCATAGTTTTCACTAGAGAGTCAATAAATCGAGTTCAACTCAACCAATTGAGTTAAAAATTTCAGCAATAAGTTCTCATGAGCTTCTAAGTTTATGGTAGAATTTTCAGACCTGTAGCTCAATGTTAAGTCGAGATAGGACCATGAGAAGGGTTCACCACGGTATGTTTTGTCAATCAATGAAATCACCCTATTATGCGATGAGCTTTGGATACAAGAAACTATGTATTATGGGCTACAATTAGCACAAAAAAAATCGAAAATAAATTGTACAGGGATAAAATAGCAAACGAATATTTTATGAGATTGCATTACCATTCAGTTCTGTCAACACCCAATTACCATAGTACCAATGTCCGAGATGCTCCCATATTATAAAGACTTGAGCGTCAAAACCATTCTGATATCTTCACAAAGTTTCTTATTGATTAAATGAACGTCATTTATACGTTCTCCAGAGTGCGGTGACCAAAAAAAAGCATTTCCTAAATAATGAGCGTAAACTCCATAGTATTCGAGAGTTACACATGTATCAAGGCACTATTACTTGTGTCTTGAAAAAATCGCATGGAAATGCAATCTCATAAAATATTCGTTTGCTATTTTATCCCTGTACAATTTATTTTCGATTTTTTTTGTGCTAATTGTAGCCCATAATACGTAGTTTCTTGTATCCAAAGCTCATCGCATAATAGGGTGATTTCATTGATTGACAAAACATACCGTGATGAACCCTTCTCTTGGCTCTGTCTCGGCTTAACATTGAGCTACAGGTCTGAAAATTCTACCATAAACTTAGAAGCTCATGAGAACTTATTGCTGAAATTTTTAACTCAATTGGTTGAGTTGAACTCGATTTATTGACTCTCTAGTGAAAACTATGGCTTATTACTTGGTGAAAGTTTTCAATGTGAACTTCAGAACTCCATTATTCTAGATTAACTTCTTACCAATTTCTTATCGTAGATAGCCCCATCAATGTGCTTAAGAATGAGGGGTTGCGCGAATATTAGTGTCAAAAGATGACTGAGATATGACTTTCACAATGTAATGATATTGGTGAACTGATAACTCCACTGTATCTCAACCGATTGAGGGCGAGGTAGTGCTTGCGATCAGGGTTCGCTGAGATCAGTCTCTATCCACAATATCAGCCAAATATCATAACAAATGATACCAGTTCAAGGGGGGCGGTTACTTTTGTCCAGGAGTGTATAACACTACACAGACACTACGTTTTATCTCATCATATATATATATAGTAAAATATAAGTATACTAGCTTCTCTCATAACCTTAAAATCTACACATCAGAATCTTTACGTCCAAATCCATACGTCCTAATCTATACGTCCAGATCTATACGTCCTAATCTATACGTCCAGATCTATACGTTCCAATCTATACGTCCAAACCTATACGTCCTAATCAATATGTCCAAATATATACGTCGTTATCTGTACGTCCTAATCCATACGTTCAAATTTATGCGTCCTTATCTGTAGGTTCTAATCTATACGTCGTTATCTGTACGTCCTAATCTATACGTCCAAATTTACAGTAGTGTCAAACTTGAAAGTTGAATTCAGTTATTGAACTAGAGTTCAATTATGCAACTTTTGGTTTCAGACAGTCACTATTGCTAGATGCTACACACATCACCTGGGAGGCTGCTAGCACCACCTGGTATGCTGCCAGCATCACCTTGGATGCTACTATCATCATCTAGGATGCTACTATCATCATCTAGGATGCTACTGGCATCATATGGGATGCTGCTAGGATCATCTAGGATGCTACTAGCATCATCTGGGTTGCTACTAGCATCAAATCGGATGCTACTAGCATAATCTAGGGTGCTGCTAGCATCATATCGGATGGTACTAGCATCATCTAGGATACTGCTAGCATCATCTAGAATACTGCTAGCATCACCAAGGATACTACTAGTATCATCTAGAATGCTACTAGTATCACCATGAATGCTACTAGCACAACCTGGGAAGCTGCCAGCATCACAGAGAATGCTGCTAGCATCCTTGAAGTGCTGCAGATATTGTTTACACAGAGACTCGTATGGGTCGCGGCTCTGCGAGGGACACTTCGCGCCCCCGCACCGCGACGCAGATATGAAAGGTCAGTTAGGCGGGGAAAAGCGCTTTCCCCACCTGAATTTGCGGAACCGATAATTTCCATAGTTAAATACTTGAATTGTTGAATTCAACTTGCAAGTTTAACATGTATACCCCTAGGATGCTATAAGCACTATCTAGGATGCTATGGGTTTTGGTTGAGATGCTTGAGAATTTACCTGGGATCTTACAAAAGGTATTGAGAAGTTTGAGCTAGTGCGCAGCACTGAGTAGGAGTAATGGTGTACACAGAGACGTGCCTGGGTCGCGGCTCTTCGGGAGGCGCTTCGCGCCCCCACGCCGCGACGCCGAAATAAAAGGTGTGTTAGGCGAGCAAAAGCGCTTCCCCACTGAATATTCGCAGTTACATGCACCCATGTTCTTAAAACCTGTCATCGGAGTAATATTTTAGGTTTTTGCTTTTCATACAATTTAAGGCTTGTGACTGATTCTTCGAAGAGAAGATGCAAGAAAAGGAAGGTAGGAAAAGGAGGGTGCGAGTGTGGGTGTGGGTGTACTGTGTGTGAAGACAATACACACACCCTCACCCACACCCACACCTACAGATAACGACGTATAGATTTGGACGTATAGATTAGGACGTATAGATTAGGATGT